CAAAATGAGCAACATCTGGACAATCCTTTGACTGGGAACAATCAAAGGCCAACCCAAAATGTCAAATCAGTAGTCATAATGCCTCATATGTCGCAAGTTATGCAGGAGCGTGCCATTAGCTTGTTGGATGCAGGGATGTCCACCATAGCAGTAGCTGCATGGCTCATTGTCCACTATCGGACTATCAGCCGTTTAAGAGTTAGTTTCCAACAAACTGGCTCTACTGCAAATTAACCTCATCCTAGTTTTCCATGTGTGACCACTCCATCACAAGATCGCCACATCCGGCTCGTCCATCTGTGGGATCGGCTAAGACCAGCAACACACACAGCTGATGAGACTATTGGTCTGAACAACAGACACATCACACCTCAGACTGTCCATAGCCGCCTACGGGAAGCCAATTTGCATCCTCGGCAAATTCCTCACCCTGACCCCTCTTGCGTAAGATTCCGCCAACATCTCCCACAAATAGCTGTTCTCTGACGATGAGTGCCATTGGTTTTAGCTGTTAAGTTATCAAGATAACTTGCTAACTCTTAAATATATGTCGGTTAAAAGAAAAAGGGATACAGTGTTTTGATATTAAATGTCAATGCTAGGTAACAAGGTCAGGAAAAAGTTTTAATGAATAAAAATAGTGAGAGAAGTAGTTATGTTATTCTTGCTTGAGTTTTACAACCTTAACTTGTAGATGTGATGTGGAAATCTGTGTTTTAGTTCAGTCAAAAAATAAAAAAAGACGACCTCCACACCAACTCTGACAGCTCATCAGTAGAGCAGGTGTTTAAATTAGCTAATCCACCACAGCTCTGTTAGATTAGCTAATAGCAGCAGTAGCTAATTTACCACAGCGAACAATTATTAATAATCACAAAATAAGCAGTAAGCCTAAAAACATAATATGTAGTGGACTGAATATTCTGGTCTCTGTGTGGGAAAAGTTTGAGTGTTTTTTGTTGTTGAGTCCTGAAACGGTTGCCATAGCAATGAATCTGTGTGAGCCAGTGAGTGAGAAAAAAAGTGGTTTTGAGTTTTTCTTCAATTGTTTTTCTGCATTACATTTCTATTTGCTGTGGCACATGGCCACAGCAAAGGCTAAATGCCTTTTAATAATAATAATGATAATAATTAATAAATACCCTCATTAATAACACCTACATTTCCAGGTTTCATTTGGATAACTGGGATTGTTCTTCAGCAGAAACGCAGCATAAACACAGGGGGATGAAATAATATAGAAAAATCTAAATGACAATGATAAAGAACTCAGAAACCTAAAGTCCAAACACTCATGGATCATGGTTCCTGTTCCTTATTTTCTGCATACATCACGTTTCTCATCTATATTAAAAGGATTAGTAAGTATTAGCTGCTTTTCCTTTAACTTTTTGTCATATGTTTTATTTTATTTCTTTACCCCAGACTGTAATTGTCTCTCTGCTGCTTTCTCTGTGTATTTTTTTTTAATCTAACTTCAGGTGTTATCTGTCCATTTAAAGTGGAGGGCAATTAGCCCATCCGTCTCATTAATAATCCATTGTCAACCTGTTTAATTATTTACCTTAATTGCTGATTTAAGTTTCGCATCCCTTGACACAAAGGGCCACTCGGGAAAACAAACACACACTCACACAGAGGTCACTGGCTCTCAGAGGTGACGGATGGATTGAGTTTCCCTGTTGTCACTTAGCCTTTTATTTCCCCGTTTTTCAAATCTTTTGGAATTTCTCTTCTGCTTCTGTCTCCCATCCTCTCTATCTGTCTTGCTCTCTGTTCCTCTGTATGTGAGAGAGAGAGCAAACATGCAGAGTAAGATACTGTACTGGTGGATGTGAGAGGCCCTGGATCAATAAAGTTGATTGGGTGTAAATGAAAACAGAGCAGGAGATACTGAAACTATTTGTCACCATGTTGCTAATGAAGCAGCTGGCAACAGGGAATACAAATGGTTCTATTAGAAGGACAGATAAAGTCGCTGGTTTCTATATTAAATGGGGAAAATTGACTTTTCAATCAGCTAAATGACAAAAAAAATCTATATGCAAAATATTAATCTCAGATTATTAAATGTTTTGTTCTGAGTATTACTACTTTAAGGTGAAATTATGTTTGAAAGTTACAATTTTACCATAAAAAGCCAAGAAATTTAAAAGGTGTCAATTTGACCCTGACTGCTGAACCAGCTGTTTGGATTGTCTATACAATCTAGACTTCTAATCCAGTATTCAACAAACAACAATTAGTTGAAGAATTTTGAAATCCACAGATGGTCAGAATTACTCATGGCTCAAATGTATGCATACATACACCCAATAATATTTGGGTAATTATGGGAGGTTGCAAGCATTTCATAAGGCATAATTCTGGTTGGATATATAACCATTTTTCTTAAACGTAAATTGGTGGTTTCTTGGCACAGAACCACTTTGTAAACGTAGTTCTCAAATTTTGGGTTGGGGTTGAAGATTTTGGAGCTCTTCAAAACGACTATCCTGCCAAGGAGATGGGACAGTGCTGGCAGGGATGGGAGGTTAATGCAAAATTGTCTCTCGGTGTGGGGAACGACAGCTAGTTCCCCCCACCAGACTGCGGTGAATCCACTGGGTGGCCGGCATGGCCACCCACCGATGACGGCTCCTGCCACGCTGTTTTCTTATCTGTCTGTTTTGGTCTTTCTTTATCACAATGCATTAAAATACAATTATTATACATACTATTATTATTTTAATATTGTTAAAAAATACCATAACTAATTTTACAATGACCTATCCGGGCTCTGTTACAGTTTGATTGTGTTTCTGAACAAAAAGGTTGTTCAGAAAAGTTATACACAAATATACTGATGACGGGATTAAATTACTGATAACGAAGCAAATGTGTTGTCATTAAGTCAAGCTATATATATTACTTGTAGCATACTTTACATACTTACTATGTTTTTTGGTCTATAAGCCAGTACTTTTTCCCCACGTTTTGAAGCATGCGGCTTGTAGCCCGGTGCGGCTTTTCTGTGGATTTTTTTCAACAACCAGAGGGCTCTATAGCACGAAGTGAATCATTGGAAGTCAAAATTAAAAATCAAAGAAGAAAGCTCTAATTTTCATTCATAACAAGGACAAATTAGCAGCAGGCACGACGAAGAAATTTCCTTAAACTCATACCCCCTCGTCATAGAAACCACACAAAGAAGTTCATATGATGCAGTTTTTAAGTTGAGGAGGTTTAAGGTGTGATCTATAGTCCGGAAAATATGGTAACTGATTATTTTTAACTTAACTTAAAACAATGATTACAATGTAAATTAACTTTAGTTTTGGCATATAATTAAATAAATGCCCAGTTTAAATCACACAACATTTAAAACATGCACTTATTTACGTCATAAGGGTCAAATAATAAGATACATTTGATAAGCTCCGCTACAGTTTATCTTCTGTCCTTTTATTGCCATTAAGCTGCCATTGTGCTAAAAGTTAAACAAGAAATTGCCCCTTTAAAACAAATCATCACAACTCAAACAGGAAGTTAACCATAAGTAAACCTAATTATGATGATAGGTCTTATACCTTCTCAGTTATAAGTAAAAGTCATTTGCACATTGCAGCCAACATGCTATCCACATACTTCCAGATACTGCAAAATGTTATTTTTAATCTTGATCAGTTGTTATGTTTGCTCTGTATACATATCTATAAGATGTGAAACAAAACAGAGTAACATGAATGAATTTGTTCAGATTAACATGTTATAATATTGATTTCCACTATTCATATATTAGGTTAAAGTTGTTTATTTGAGCATATGACAGGTATGATTATAACAGATTCTTTAGTTAAGGGTGGTTTGGAATATCAGACTAATTGCTCATTCAGTCGATCTGCTGTCGTTTGCTATTGTAGCAGCAATTCCTCATAATCCTCAATCAAATGATGATGTTTGTTTGGCGTGAGGTATGGCATACACAATTTATCTAGTGTACGTCAGTGAATCTGTGATGGATCTTATGGTCTGCTGAAGAAATCTGTTGGCTCACATTCACCTGAATTACTTAAGCCTGGCTCGACATTGCTGCTCCTGCTGAGCCTGGTTTGGTCTTTGTGAAACGGATAAAGTCAGGATGAACTGAAGGCTCTGTGTCATGACTGGTTTTATCTCTTATCCTAGATTTCGTAATCCTACTTTTATGAAACACCAATCTGATTATCTGCCACCACCTGCCAAAACATGACTGTAAGGTCAACTGATTACTTTGCCTGTAAGGAACTCCTTCTTCTTTTGAAACTCACACCTTTCAATCAACAACATATTATTTATGATTTCACTCAAAACAACAGTTAGATGATTTTCCTTGTTTTTTTATGTTTTTTTCCTTTCAAAAAGTTATGATGAAAATACAACTGCTTTGCCTTCATAAGAAAAGCACTTTATAAATAAACTTTACTTATTAATATTTGTATGATGTACTTGAATTTTTAAGTAAGAAAAGTAATTTATGAATACAGAAACAACATTGTAAAGCTGCAGCTGGCATGATGGCTTGCAAATTTTACTTGCATTACTAACTTCACTAACTTGGTTAAAATTTTGCTGGGTGGATGTTGGGAAGTAAACATTAAAGACATGACTTTAATTACCTTCTAATTTACAGTTGTATCATGGTGTCGGTGTGTTCTGTTGATGAGCCCTTTTGAAATGTTGAAATCTACAAACATACAGGCCCACTTCGTATCCCACGCTGGCTTAGTTTCACCTGGTTAACTCATAGACAGGTCCTGGAGTGTGTGTTTGTGTGTGTGTGGCTGTTTATTTACCTGCCACACTGTGTCTTCGGAGCGCTAAAGGCTTCACACTGACCCTGGGGAACAGAACTAAAACACAAACGCATACAAACAGTTCTCACACCCCCTCCAAACACACACACACATTGTGTTGTTTAGTTTTACAGCATGAAAATAAAAGCGTTTCTTTTTCATACACTTACACATACTCTTTCACAGACCCCGTGAGTCCTCCTGTTAGCGCTTGGTTAGACGTTTGGTTGTGACACACTGGAAAAAGGCGGCGCAGCGGAACAGACTACAAACAAACAACAGCAGCCAGATGCCAAAACAGGAACAGGAAAGAAGAAAGGAAACTTACTGTGGTTCACTGGCCATTACTATGCACAATGAATGCGGAATCCCTGAAATAAACAAAGAGTGTACATGTGAGACATTTAATAACCAGAACTGTCAGTAGTGAAATCAAAGTGCTGGACTAAATAAGGAGACTACTAAAAAAGGAAGTTTAACTAAGATGGATGTTCTTTGAGACTTTACAAATCCTGAAACTATACACTAAAATGAAAAACATTGTAAAACCAACAGGCTTTCCGATGCCCAAGTCTGTGCTAATTGATTCAATATTTTACTGCACTCAGGGCTGCACAGTGGTGCAGTTGGTAGAGCTGTTGCCTTGAAGCAAGAAGGTTCTGGGTTCAATTCCCAGCCCCGGTCTTTCTGCATGGAGTTTGCATGTTCTCCCTGTGCATGCATGGGTTTTCTCTGGGTACTCTGGTTTCCTCCCACAGTCCAAAAACATGTCAGGTTAATTGGCCTCTCCAAATTGCCACTAGGTGTGTGTGCATGGTTGCTTGTCTCTGTGTTGACTGGCCACCGGTCCAAGGGGACCCCACTTCTCACCCGGAACGATAGCTGGAGAGGCACCAGCAACCCTCCCTCCTGGGTGTAAAGAAAATGGATGGGTTTTACTGCACTCATTTATAGATTATTTATTGATTAATATTTTTGCATGTGTTTGCTTTTTATTTGTTTATATCTACTCACTTTGAACTTATCACTCTTACGTATATAAATAAATATATCAATAAAGTATATTCTATTCTATTCTATTTTTAAAAATCTGAATCTGGGATTTCCAACATATTTTACTCTAATATTCCTAAATAAAACCTGGTGTAAACAACTGCATTCAGAAGTAAACAGTGTAACCAGAACTCACTGAAGAAACCCTCCCTACTGTGAAAGATAGAAAGATCAAAAAGCTGAGTATGACCCCCAGACAGACTTAAAATAAAAGTAAAAATAAAAAATAAACATTTGGATATCTAACAAAAAAATCGTCAGAAATCTGAAAAAAAATCTAGAAAGAATTTAAACCAGAGAAATCCTAGAAGTCAGAAATATGAGAAAAGTCACAAGTCTGACCGCACCTCCTGAAATTAAGGGAAAAAATGAAATCTATGAAAAGTCATGTCTAGGAAAGAAAAGTCTGAAATCTGAGAAAAATTGTCAAATTATTCAAAAAAAAGTCAAAATATGAAAAAAAAAACATGGAAATCTAAAATGTCAGAAAAAGCTGCAGGTTATAACATGTATCCAGCATTACAAGGATTGCTCCTATCACACACCCACAAGTATTTGGGAACCAAGTTAGACTGGAAAAGTCTCTGGGGATTGGCTGCATAAAGAAGACGTGGAAGGAAAACTGAATTGCAACACAGTCTATTGTGAAACATTTGAGAAGTGGCCCTGGAGATCTATGTGAATCCTCTCCGCCTCCTAAAGATTTCTGCTCACGTTACAGCAGAAATTGATATTATCGTGCAATTGCCTGTTTTTCTGCTCGTCAGAGAGCTATTTCCCTTAAATACCCAGCAATTGCTGGAAAATTACAGGTTAAAAAAGTCCATGTGCTTCCCATAAAAATATATACAGTCAATACAACAGAAAAACCTTTCAAGATCATGTTTTATATTTGTTACAATCATTTTTTGGGCTGTTTGTATTGACATAAGACAACCTCTAAATAGGTTGAAATTTCTGAGAAAGTTCAACACAGTTCTGAAGTTAAGCTAACTTTTTTCCCTCATATTGGAAAGAATTGGACT